GTTTTTTCTAAAAAGAATAATTATATTTTCTTAGCAGTATTACAATTGAATCTGGATGAAAAGCCTGTTTTATTCTCTATTTTAAATTGAGCCAGAAAGATTTTTCTGCCATTGACTACATGAGTCAACTATAGTGCATGAGCCTGAACTTTTAGAGTGATTCATCAGCAAAGTCCCTGCTTCTGTCTTTATGGGAACTGGTTGATGCATGACTACAAGATTGTAAAAGGGTCTCAACATCACTAATTAATACGATGCAAAAAATCCTGCTGACTTTGTGTGTTTAGCTGTTGACACCAGGACGGGGAGATGGCACAAGTGTACACTAGCTTGCAACTGCTAACGAGTTGGTGATAACTTTTCACCCAAGAAAGATGAGTGAGTGTTTCTCAGTAGTGGGTCAAATATTCTGAGTAGTTGCTGAAAACTACTGTATTCATCAATGTTAAACCGTCTTAGTAGAAAGTATGCAGACGTTTAATTGGCAAAGAACAAGAAGTTTTTGTAAGTCATGGTGAGATCTGATGGTACAAAATGTTGTGAAACCTGTCATGGCTCAGCTATTTGCCTTCCCCTGGCAGGCTCCAAAAAGTCCAAAATATGTAAAAGTAGCATAGGAGAATCAGCTGGGACTTCAGTCCTGAATCCCATATTTGAAATCCAGTGAGCAGTCGTTGACAATATGGTTATCAGCCACATATAGCAGAGCAGAAGAAGGGTTTATGTTACTTTGGGCATTAGTTTAGGGGCCAGACAAGAAAACAGAAGAGATGGAAAGAATTTTGGTCTCAGCTTCTCCATGTCATCCCTTAGTCCTTATCAGTTATCTGCAGTCTACAGCCTGATCTTAATATTTAATTGGGTTGGTTTAATAGTGTAACCATGTGTTTCTCACCCAAATCTCATAGAATACCTAAAGATTTTGTTGAAAAGCCCCTTTCAGCTGCCATGGGTATGCTTCCCAAGCATGTACCTCATAGAGGCTTTCTGAAAAATAGCATGTCTTCTGCATTTTTCTCCCAAGCATTACCTTTCTTCTACTTTTTATTCTTAGCCTATGAGTAAATTTCAATATTTTGTTCTTATTTCAACACATCTTTTCCTGTTAAAGCATGTCCTAATCACCAGAAAAAAGCATGCTGAGATTGAGAAATAGGATATCTGGGAGATAAACAACCTGGGAAAGCAGAAACTATGCCCTTCACTAGTGCCCAACACAAACCCTGCACTTCAAGGCAGTGTTTGTTTTAAGGTGAGCCTAGCCTGGCTTTAGGTCACTGTACTGTTCCAGAGCTGCACTAATGTGACTTCTGCCTCTCCACAAGGAACTCAGGAAGTGTGGCTCGACTCTACCTGAGGTTTGGAAGGAAACTTGGAGCTTCAGAGAAGGATCCCTAGTTTAGCCAAAGTCCAATTCCTGCTTGATTGGCAGGTCTTTGACACTTCTAAAACAGGGTTGATCTTTCCAAGTGGAATTTTATCTCTCAAATGCTTTTATGTTCTCATATTTCACCGATTAATAAAACCACACCAGTTGTTGGGTATTTTGGAAAGAAGTATGATTAGAAAGTGTATTGAGCTGATAGATCAATAGAGCTTTGTCAGAATATCCAAGAATAATTTAATTCTTGCTTGGTCCAGTTACTTCCTCTCAGAACAAAATCTCAGATATGGAAATATGTACACAAATGGGAAACCGAAACACTTTACTGTTGGCCAGCGTTGGAGCAAACCTTGCTGTAGAAATCCTTGGAAGGCTTGACGATATGGACAGCTGGCTTCCTTTTTCTTAGCTAAGTCTTGCCTTAAACCAAAGCAAACCAGCCTATTCCTTCATGACCCAAACTCAGTTTGGTACTTACTACTCTAAAGAGAAGACGCACACTCTTGAACTAGAATTAAAAAAAAAAAAAAATGCCAAGCATGGGGCTGGGTTATTTATGCCTCCAAATTCCCAATTTTAGGAAAAAAGTTCCAATCAATACCATGGAATTTGACCAATCCAGGAACATCCTCCTCTCTAGGGCTAGAAAACAGGAAGGTTGAATGAGAGGAAGGAATTTATACACAGGTCAACAGGGACCTCGCTCCACAGACCAATATCCATTATTGCCACAGCCTCCAGTATCTAGTGAAGAAACTGGCCCTGCTATGAGAAAAAGAATACAGAATAAAATGTTTTGTGGTTCAACCTAATTGAGCCTTCAACATTTTGTCATTTAAACAGTTTCTTTTTTCTCAAGAACTTAAAATATACTTGTTAAATTAATATTAGGACAGATGGTTGGCCTAGTATCATGGATCCAGGAGTTGCTGCCAATTTTCTTACGTTGGTTATTTTCCTCAGTCACAGTGCTATCTGGGTCTACAGAGGAGCTCTGAAGGAGTAGTGGTAGACTAAGCAAACTGAACAAAACTAGCAAAAGTAGCTTGACCTAATAGGGCAGAACACCTCTGTGAGAGACACTCTCTTTACTTTACTTTCATTATTTATTATTAAGAGGGATTTTTATAAGTAAGAGGGATTGCAGTTGCCCTCTTATTTAAAAATTTAGCTCATGGTTGTTGCATCAAAGTATAATTTGCTTTATTCTGCCTTTTCTTATAAAACCACTATGTTGTGAATGGGCTATTTCCTCTTTATCCTTGGGTTTTATAATAATATGTAAAGTTATTTCATGTATTCTTTCTACTTCATATACTACATAGGTCTGGGAACAAGGTTTTCTTTTTAAGTTTTTAAATCAATTTCATTTCTTGTTATTGGTAAGACACAGTAATTAGGCACCTTGATTTAAATTGTTCTAATTTGTACTTAGATTATAATGCTTATACAAACCCACTCTTATTTTACAGCT